GTATAGTACATTATGTACAAAGGTAAAACTGCATCAGGATTAAAATTGATGCAGTATTTAACGTGTTAGAGCTGAATGTAAAATCTTTTCATGTGACTTTTGTATTCACATAAAAGATATCCTATTGAAGTGTACAACAGAGAGAGCGAGTACTAACAGTTTTTTTTCTCTTTTAAACAATGCACATTTTATGCTTTCTTTTTAACACAACATTACAAATGCAAATATACTTCTGTAAGTTCATTAATGATTATATATATGAAACAGGGATTGACATACTTTTACAAAATAAAGTTGTAATGAATCATTCCTGCAATTAAAAGTTAATTTTTACCAAATTTCGATATATTAAGTGCATATCCTTTTATTTCTGAAGCATTTGTCATACCTTGGAATTTTTTATTTAAGGTATGAAATTTTAATGTGCAGATATATAAATATGTATATCATTTCATAACATTTTATGCTTTCTCTTTTAAGATTTATCTTTGAAGTTCATTAATGATTATATTTTGGAATTGATCAATGAGAGATGTGGTACCCATGATAATGAAACACTACATTTGTCAACTTGGGTATTAAAGGTATGAAATTTTTGAAATATATAAGTTTATATCATACATGAACTGAAGATAAGCTTACAGGAATTTAACAGAGATGTGGTACATGTACACTACATCATAAAGTATGTTTGAAAGTTTCATTTATAATGAACCATTCCTGATTTTATATGTTGACAATGCAAGTATTTTGTAATTTTTGTAACTTTGAATATGAAATTCCTCTTTTATTCTTTCTAAGAATCAATATGAAATTCCTCTTTTATTCTTTCTAAGAATCTGTTAAATATTTAATTAAAAAAAAGCGATAACAAAAAATGCAAATATTATTTCTTCTCATGTGTTTAAATTTTAGATCCAAAGACTACTCTGGCAATGCAAAATAGTGAGGTGACGTTGAAAAGGTGTGGAATATGTTGAGAAGTTATCACAGACAAAAAATCTTACAGACAAGTTAAATCGAATGAAGATTTTTGCAGAATATTTTTAGAACTAAATCTGAAACAAAATAATTATGTTTGTAAATTTTGCGTAAACAAGTTGAACAGACTAGTTAGAATCGACAATGACATTAAAAGCAGATTGGCGAAATTGTATGAGAAACGGAATGATTTATTTATGGAATTGAAAAAAACAGTCGCTAGCAAAGCACATTTACTTACACCTGTGAATAAAAAGCGGGAGAGACAAAAAAACACACCAACACCTCGCAAACCAAAGATTCGACGATTGCTGCCATTCCCCAATTCTCCTAGAGCTAGAGTGCCTGAACCTGTTCCGATCAAGACATCAAGACATAAGCCAGCTGAAGAATTTTCTGAACAAGTTAGCGATTTATGGGATCAACAGATTCAGCCTTTGGATTGCGTACAGTCTTATTCACATAGCACAATTGATGCCTGTACACAAACTAAGACCTACCAGGAAAAGGACTTTGATGTAAAGGTACGAAATTACTTTTTAATTAATCAATTAAAATGATAATTGTGTCATACTGAGTATCATTTTGATTCAACATTATATAAAATGACATTATTTTTTAGCTCACCTAAGCTGAAAGCTCATTAGTGAGCTTTTGTGACCACTCATCATCCGTCTGTCCATCCGTCTGTCTGTTAACTTTTCACATTTTCAACTTCTTCTCAAGAACCAGTGGGCCAATTTTTAACCAAACTTGGTACAAAGCATCCTTGGGCAAAGGGGAGGTTAAATCGTTTTCAAAAGGGCCAGGTCCCCTTCCAAGGGGAGATAATCAAGAAAATACAAAAATAGGTTGGGGTAGGGTGGGGCCACAATAGGGAATCCAAGTTTTACATAGAAATATATAGGAAAAATCTTTAACAAATCTTCTCAAGAACCACTTGGTCAGGAAAGCTGAATCTTGTGTGGAAGCATCCTGGGGTATTGTAGATTCGAAAGTATTGAAAACATGTCAGGGGAGAGGGGTAGGGGAGCACAATAGGTATACCAAGAGGGGAAATCTGATAAAGAACTGCATCACCCAAGTTAATCAGGTGAGTGATGTGGCCCATGGGCCTCTTGTTTATCATTGTTTATCATTGAGCCCTAGCAAAGGGATAGAAAACTCATGAGATGGATATGCAAATGCCATTGTGATTTCACAATTAGGGAATACAAAATACATCATGTCCAATGTGTGATATTCACATGGTAGTAAATGTGATGAAAATTATTTTTATAGAGAGTTTTTTTATGCGCCCGGATCGATAGATCCTGTCTGTCCTGTCTGTTTGTCTGTTTAGCTGTTTATCTGTTTGTCTGTCTGTTGTCAACTTTAACCTTCGCCATAATTTTTGAACCATGAAAGACAGATACTTTATTTTTATACTCCACCAATAAAGTTCTTTCAAATGACACCAAGGTCATTGACCTTGTGACCTTGACTATGACCTATTTGCTTAAAATAGCTTTTTTGAATTTTCGCCATATCTTTTGAACCGTGGGAGGTAGAGACTACATATTTGATATGCTTACTCCACCAATGACGCTCTTTCAAATGACACCAAGGTCAATGACCTTGTGAACTTGACAGTGACATATATGCTAAAAATAGATCTTACAAAATTTTCGCCGTAACTTTTGAACCATGAGAGATAGAGACTTCATATTTGGTGTGCATACTCCACTAATGAAGTTCTTCAAATGACACCAAGGTCAATGACCTTGTGACCTTGACATTCACTTATCTGCTGAAAATAGTCTTTTAAAACTTTGTTGCCGCTGTGCGCATAGTGTTTCACAAACACATCTTCTTTGTTTTAGATCACAGTAAAGTATGGGAGCAGTCATAGGTCTTCAGTTGTTCATGATCCCATCAAACAAGCAATATGCAAATCCATGTTAAATAACAGTAGCAACTTTGTACACCGTTTGATGAAGACAGAGCAATACAAGCAAGTAGTGTTACAAGAAATTTGTATGCAAATACGCAAGGAAATCAGTGAAATTTGCAGAAAAGAAGAAAATGAACTTCATTATCACACAGAAATTGCAGACTGGAAGAGTCTTTTGCATTATTTTAACCAGAAAGCACCTGTTACCCTAAACTATTACAAAGTGTTATTTTGAAAGATATTACAGAAAACAAAGTTGATGGTCATAAGCTGATAAGTCTTTGCACTGGATTTTCAGTCTTTTTATACAGCAGAAACAACACTTTGTCAAGACTTCAATACACTGTTGGACTCTTATTGGATCAATGTGGTGCTACTAAAGAGGTATGATCTGTTTCCTTTTTGCCTATTTTTTTCTTTACTAAAGCAAAAATAAACATATTATCTTGCTGTGTAAAATATTTATTCATACAGAAAATGAAATTGATTTTTTTCCATATTTTATCTTGGTACAGGCAATATCGATTTTGCATGATCTGGGCATATCTGTATCACCCAGTGCGTTACATCGGAAGAAAAGAGACATTATATTAAAACAAGAAGAGTTAATTCAAGGTACAGTGGGAAGATATGTTTCTGAAAGGAGAGAGATAATGACTGCTACAAAAATTGTAAAGGACTATGAAGATCACATCAGCATGTCCAATCAACCACTACCTGAAAAAGGATCAGTTTTGTTTCAAAGTCCTAACATGTGCCCTCAATTGTTGACAAATGGATGTGGGGCACAACCTAATGCCTTTGAAAGTGTTAAATTATGAGATTACTCCAGAACAGCTTTTTCCAGTGCCAGAACAGACAGTGATGTCACTTTTTCAATGAATTATGTGTGCAACTCTAACATGGCATGTTTGACGCCAAAACCAGAGACTGTGGTATTTGATACCAGGATGAATAAGGCGTCCAACACAGGAACCATTTACTCCACAGGAACTCGAGAAAAGGTAGTATCTTCTTTAAAGGAGAAAATTATAAGAGCAAATATATGCTTACCCATAGAAATTTTAGGGGACAATGTTGACATACTTATCAGTCCTGTTAATATGACTTTCGATAGACAGAGAAAATCGTGGCACTGGTTTCTCCTGCTGGCTACTCAAAAGAGAGTAATAGACAAGGATCTCCCAACAGGAAAACCAGTTGCAGATATTGAAAAGATTAGCTGTTGTGAATTTCTCCCATCTCAAACAAAAATCGATGATTTTCAAAGAAATGTGCAATTTCATGTGGCAAAAATCTTGACAAAATTCATTGAGGTGCTCAAACCATTTGAGAGACTTCTACCAAATTACATACAACATCCATATATTGAAAAAACTTCTCAGAAGTCTGTGTTCATAAACTTTGACCTCATTGATGAAAGTGAAAACTCCTCTGATGGAATGAAACGCATAAATCAAGGAGTGCACTCTTTAGCAGTGCCATACGTAGATGAAAACATTGAAAAGGTAGTTCTAGGTGGTGATGTATTAACCAATGAACGTGCTATGAGTGCACAGCTAGCTATGAGGAACAGCGAGTCCTGTTTTGAACAGCTTCTTGGTGTTATACATAGGCCTGAGGGATTACACAGGCAGATGAATTTTCTGATGGTATCCTGAGTTCTACTAACTTATACAGTTATATTTGTGAGTTTTGCTTTCTTGTGTTATAATAAAGTAATGCATGTGATAAAAAAACTACAATTATAAAGAATATGGCATATTTTTCTGTTTAGAAAGATTCACATGCATGACTTTATTTTCCCACTTTTCAGATTTTTTTTTTTTTTTTGATTTCTTATTTTCTTTGTTTTAACATCATCTAAGATTTTTTTTCTCAGAATCTTTTGAAGTTCTTTAGATAAACAATTCAAGTCAAATAATTTAATCCATCACTACATTAAATTTCATCATTGAAAAGAGTTTTGAGGAATAAAGTATGATGATAATTTATGAGATTATTTTCACAACTATAATTATTTTGGCCTCAGCTTTTAAAATAAACAAAAAGATGTCACACATACACTGCACTTTAAGTTCCCCATAATTCAGTGATATTTAGATCTGAAGCCAATACCTACTCAAATTTTTAGATGATTCTCTGGGATCAAAAGATAGATTTATTTAAGTACAGTGTATTTGTCACTGTTTGGACAAAAAGGTTTTGTTTGCATGTATTTAGATATTTTTTTGTTCCATTATGTTAGGTGGTGTTTCACCATTGGAGTTTACAGTTGTTTTGATTTACATCCTTCTTGGGTAAATCTATTGGCCATTGTTGTCAGGTAATCAATTAAATCTTAGATTGATATTTTTTACTGAACTTATGCTATTGAAACATGGAACTAGACAAAGTGAATTAAAATATTGGTAACAGTCATCTGAATTTAAAGTGTTTATTTATCATTAGGTACCATTTATTTTGTGTTGCAGTGTTATTTTTTTATTTCTTCAGAGTATATATCAAGAGTTTTACAAAGAAGAAAGTAGCAGTGATTGGAGCAGTCTATATAAGCTTCAAAACCTTATCAACAGAAGCAATGTATCTGGAGCTGAGCAAGTGACCAAAGATTTAAGGTACATGCAATTATAAACTGTCTTCTTTGAAGCTTCAGTGTTTGAAGACCTGGAATGAGGCAAAAAGAACAGCCTAAAACAGAGCAAGGTGGAGAGCGACTGTAGTAGCCCAATACTTCACAAGGAACGAAGAAGACTAAAAGCAAAAAAAAAGCATGTTAGAAACCAAAAATTAACTAACTAATAAATTATCATTTAAAAAATTAAGTTAAACTGATCCAAAAAGTTAACTAGTGCTAAACATTTTAATTTGAATCTTTGATGTATTTTTTCAGACCTCAAAACAATTTTTTTCTATTACCTAGGTCACACATGGGGTACATCATGGATGTAATGAGTGGGTATGTTGTTGCTGCCTTCTTGACTTTACACAATATGAAAGATATGCAGGACAAACCCGCTAGCTTGCCAGTGTTCTCCCTCATGGATGAAAATCAAAAGAAAAACTGGATTTATGAACAAGCTGATTTCGTTATGGACTGTTTAGGTGTCAAAAATACCAATCATATCGAAGAACTGAGAGAAAATATTAAGCAGTTAGATATAGACTGTCAAAAACTTTGCGAAATGAAAGATGAAACTGATTTTCAATGTGCATTATGTGGAAAACACTATTTAACTGAAGGTCACTTTAGGAATCATCTTAAAAAGAAACACCAATTTCAATTCCATGAGTGCACAACTCCAAAAACATCCGACAGTGTTGTTTCCAGTTTCCTGAAGTTGGCTTTATTGCTACATGACACCTGTGATGCCTACCGAATAGGGGATGGCGAACGCTGCTTGCGGAATTCAAAATTTGAATACCTGTATGCAGGTGCACTTGGGCATACCAAATACAAACTATGGCTTTGGAGATATATTGCCTATATTGCTGCCATACTCAGCCCAAGAGAAAGTTTTGAGTACAAGTGGAATATATGTCAAAATTTAATGGGAGGAGTAGACCAAAATATACCAAACGATAATTGTGTGGAACTCCAGATCAAAAAGATAAAAACTCAGCTCAATACACAGGGCGCTAATAAGTCGTTTAATTCAGCCAAGGTAGTGACAATGTCTACGCAAGTTATTGATACTATGGAAAAAAAACTTATGCAAGTAAATAATACAGTGAAGGCTGGAAGGAAAAGACCGGAGGTGGACAAATCCACTGATATTACCCGAATTGCCGAGTGTTTGCTAAGAAATGGACACAGCGTCATAAAAGATTGGCCATCATTCAGTAAATTTAAAGACCCACTTTCAAAGCTTGATCCCAAGGCAATGCATCATTGGATAGGGATGCAAAAAAAAATTGCTTCAAAATCACTACAGTGACACATGTACTCTGGTTTGCATTGCTAAAAATTAGTTTCTTTCATGTTATTCCATGTTTGTTTTTCTATATTTAACTTCTGCATGTTCCTTGGTTTTGACACCCCATATCAAAAAAAAAACAAAAAAAAAAACAGAATTCAAGAGGCCTAAAATGAATGATTTTGGTCCAAATTGTTAAATTCTGTCATTTTTTCCCATTATCCATATTTGTTTACAAATAACAATGTTTTATTTAAGTAAATTTAATGCATTGAATACCTTGATTTTGCTAAAGAATTGATCTCCTTTTTTTTTTTTTAGAGAAAAGAAGATTATTATTAATAATATCAATTAATTACTTTCCATTGTTGTCATTTTTATGACTATTAAGTCTACATGTGTGTTGTTTTTGCCATGTGTAATATTTTTTGCAAATAGGTATATAAGTTTTTAAAAGAAGGTTGTATACTATTAAAAAAATGGAATGGCCTAAACTATGTATGATTTAGATTTGAAAGAATATACTCAAATGTGTACATGATTTATCACAATGGTTAATTGTTAGGTTGAGAAACATTTCAAATACATCTACCTTTGAAATTTCTAAATAGATCAATGAAAATATGTTTATATTGCATGACTGTACATATTCTCTTGCAAGACAAAATGTTTTGACATTCTTCACAAAATATTAATTTAGTTAATGGTCTTGAAAATGTTCATTTTAAAGTTACCTTTTATCTCAACTAAACTATAAGCTCAAGTGAACTTTTCTGATTACTAATTAATTGTAATCTTTTTTTCAACTTCCTCTAGAACCACTGTTAAAAATGTTAGGAATATGAGTTTTTGTCTATGTTATTTGAAGTAAGTGTTTCTCATATGTCTTCCTTAAAATTTTGGGGTTTAAATGTGCAAAGACCCACATTTTTAAGGTCATCAGGTAGTTTTTGTTAAATATTTTCAAATGCATTTTAATCTTCTGCCATCATTAAAATAACAGACAATTAAATTTATTCTTTTTTTCATTTTAATGTATACACCAAACAGCTGGATGAATTAAATATTTACTGGTACTACTGCAAGAACTTCTCATCTGATAAGGATCTTTGAAAAATGATTATTAAATTTTGAAAACCACTAAAAGCATTACAGCTGGGAACTAGATAAGTAAATAGTGCTTTTCCGGTTCCTCTATGCCCTTACATGCAAGCCGACCCTGAAAAATTTTATCCATTAATATCTTTCTGGGGGTAAACAATTTTGGCTCGGCTTTTAGATCTGTATATGAGAAAATGCTTATACTATGCATATAAAACAGAAATGTTTGATAGTTACTTCTACAGTTAAAAATGACAGCATTCTTGCCAATAAAATATTAAAATAAAGTAAAATATTATTCTTATCTACGCCATTTTTTCTCGGGCTGGAACAGAAATCACACTATTTATTTATCTTTGCCTAATGTATGTTTTAGGTTAATTTATCTTTATAGGAATAAGCCTTTTTAAGGACAGATGATACAAACAAAAAATGGATGCCTGGATTGGTACATATTTTTATTTCATTGAAAATGATGCAATTAAAAAATTCTGGAATATAAAGACATTGTAAACCTTCTATGATGTTAAAAATTCTGTCTCTTTGAAACTGTCCTTATTAATATATTCAAATACTTTTCACTTCAAATCCAATTTTAGTGAAATTTTGAATTAAAAATTAACCAGAAGTCTCTGTCGAGACTGTAGCTCTACTGGTTTATACTTAAAACAAAGGAAGAGAAAAGTAGCAGTTGTGACTTGAGACTTCAAAACAGCAATCAATAGAAAACTGATCCTTGCCACCCATCAAAATAAAAAGATGCACAGAATTATGTATCTTAGTGTAGTCTACTTGTGTGCCAAGTTATATTGAAATGGGACCAGAACTGTTTAGCATTTTGAAAGAATTTCACAGAAATTTCTATTTTTAGTAACCATGGCAACACCGTTCATCAAAATCAAAAACCGATGCACAGAATTATGTATCTTAGTGTAGTCTACTTGTGTGCCAAGTTATATTGAAATCGGACAAAAACTGTAGGAGGAGTAGCATTTTGAAAGAAATTCATAGAAATTTCTATTTTTAGTAACCATGGCAACATCGTTCATCGAAATCAAAAACCGATACACAGAATTATGTATCATAGTGTAGTCTACTTGTGTGCCAAGATATATTGAAATCAGACCAAAACTGTAGGAGGAGTAGCATTTTGAAACAATTTTACAGATATTTCTATTTTAGTAACCATGGCAACATCAAAATTTATGTAAACTTTATTATATTGAAATCAGACCAAAACTGTAGGAGGAGTAGCATTTTAAAAGAATTTCACAGAAATTTCTATTTTTAGTAACCATGGCAACACCGTTCATCGAAATCAAAAACCGATGCACAGAATTATGTATCTTAGTGTAGTCTACTTGTCAGCCAAGTTATATTGAAATTGGACCAAAACTGTAGGAGGAGTAGCATTTTGAAAGAAATTCACAGAAATTTCTATTTTTAGTAACCATGGCAACACTGTTCATCGAAATCAAAAACTACAGAATTATGTATACAACTCTTGTGTGCCAAGTTATATTGAAATCAAACCAAAACTGTAGGAGGAGTAGCATTTTGAAAAATTGTTTACAGAATGCTGATGTAAGCTATACATGTAGTGAAACCTATTCATTTTACTCATAAGAACATGAATCTTGTTATTTTCATTTTCTTTGACAAAAGTTTGTATCATCTGTCCTTACACCAAGTTACCTGGGGATAAAGTGGTGAAGGCATTATCCAGCTAGAGAAATAATAAAAAAAAAAAAACAAGAAGCATTGGTTTGCATTCAACTATATTTCAAACTTATATTGATTTGAATATACAGTTACAGGTTAACATACAACTCTTATCAAAACAGTTTCAAAAATCAAATCAAAAGTTTATTTCAGAATGCTGATATACATTCTATAAAGTCAATTAAAATGTACTACATAGTGAAAATGTGAAAATAAAACATTTCACTTTTGCTTATCTATATTATATACAGTTAAACTTCGAAGTCCCAATTGTACAAATACCATGTATATATAATTTGGAAGTCCCAACAAATTCTGTAAGTTTCTAAAGCTTTTCCCATGTCCTGTCAAAGTTCGAGATAATGAGGTTAAACTTTAGTTAAAACTTCATAACAATGAAACTATCACACTAACACAGTGTAAAAAATCTTATTCAAAATCTGGATCTATTTCATCATCAAATACATCATCACTCTCTAAGTCAGTGTCATCCGAGTTACAAGAATTGTCATCACTAGATTCATCATCACTTTCAAATAAGTAATATGGATGTTGATACAATGAACATTGGTCATTACATTCACAATTTTTTTTAGCATATATCACAACACAAAAGTTTAGCATTTGGAAAAGAATCATATGACTCTAACATTTGAAGTCTACGGCATTTATCTACATTTTCTATGTAACTTTTCATGTCAAGTTCAATTTTGCGAGTGTGCCTGCTATTGTACAAAAGTAAATGATAAGCTTGACTACCATCACGACCAGCACGCCCAAGCTGCTGGACAAAACTATCCATATCTTTAGGTGGACTATAATGCACAACATTGTTGATGCCCCTATAATTTACACCCATACCTGCAGCACTAGTACATATCAAAACTATGATGTGACCATTCTCATCATTCATATCCTCTCTAATCTTTTCCTTCACATTTTCTGAGGTACAAGAATGAAACATATTAACATTTTCCATCACAGATTTGTCTAAAACCATAAGAAAGGCAGTGTATACATCTGCACAATTTTTTATGCTTGAACAAAATATGTGTTCTTGTACAATCTTTTTTCTTCAAAGATAAATCATTTAGTAACCAGCCAAATGTAACCTCAATAGGTACAGTATTCTTCAACTTATGTACAAACAACTTAATGTTTTCTCTATCAGGACTGTCAATAATGTCTACACAATTATTTAGAGCCAGTCGTTTTCTAATTACTTTCCTTGCCTCCTTGCTTGCAGTGGCTGTAATGACTAGGGCAGGACAGCTAATCAGTGACCTTATCTCACCAGTCCGTGAAAACCATTCCCTGAAGGCTTGGGCATGTTGTATACTTTCTCCCCTAAAATAATATAAAGTCCATATTTCAATTGGTTGATATCTCTTAAGTAATATAATATTGGTAAAGATTTAAGAACCCTCTCTACACTGCACACTGAAGAGTTCTTATCATGCTTATTGCGTGGACCCTGAGGTCCATGCAGTAAATATATAAGCAAGGTTGAGCCGGATGCCCTGGGCAAATGACAGGGTAACTTTATCGTAGAATAATTCGCCCTATTCGGAATTAGAATAATTATCATTATGCCATTCATTGTCAAATTGAGGTCTACCGCAAGTTTATTGTCAATGTTTATAGATATGCTCCTTGGGCGAGATAAGTGAGGAGAAATTCAAATAACGTTCGATTGAGGTCTGTAGCAACAGCTTTTGATGTGTGTGTGGGGGGGGGGGGGGGGGGTGGGTGGGGTGGGGGGCTCTGCGTACTGCAGAGCTGTGCTACATGAAAACCATCAGATCTCTTTCCTCGTGACAGATTTCTAAACATTTCTTCCCTATAAATCCGGAACAGGTGTAAAGTCTCAGCCATTATAGGTAACATGTATCGAAATGGCCTGATTTTTTAAACTGACATAACTAAAGGCCGCTAATGGAAGATAGAATTTAACAATTTTGCTTTGAGACTACAGTCAGTCATAAGTAGACAGATCATTGTAGAAGATGTGAACAAACCTAGTGAATATTCACTACACCTAGATATTTTCTTATATGAATTTCAGTTAGAAAAACATGCATATGATCCATGTATTGCATTCCTTTTTTAAAGGACAGCAACTTGTTTTATGTATTTTTCTGCTGTTTGAGTAATCTGCTCTTAGATCTAAATTCTAAAATATAGAAATGCGCAATATATTACACAATCTTTGG